TGGTGGTGGTGGTGGTGGTGGTGATGGTGGTGGTGGTGGTTGTTGTTGTTGTTGTTGTTGTTGTTGTTGCTGTTGTGATAATGGTAATATATAGAACCGTGTCTTCTTCTCGTTCATCTAAATAAAATGAACAGCCCAGCCTCTAGTTTGAAAGCTGCCATTCGCCGTAGGTCCTACTTTCCTATCAAACACCTATCGTCCTTATCTCCCCTCCTTCTTTTTTATGTTTGTTACTCACCTGTAACACCTCTAATCTTCTGGAGCTCAATATGCCCTTATGCAGTTGCGAGCGCCGTAAAACCTCTACTAAAACAATAACAACAACAAAAATAAAAGCCGTAGGTCCTCCAAACCCCCATACAGTTGTGGATGGGGGTTCTCGTGGCTTAGAGATAAAGATGTTCGCCTCTCATTCAGTTGGTCCAGGGTTCGAATCCGGCTAGCGACGGAAATTTTGTTATCTAAATGTTCTCCATTCACCTTGTTTCCTGCTCTTAAACAATATTCTGTCATCTGCTTTCGTCTCAACTTTCTGCTACCAACCCCTCACCCCGTGTGCCCCCTCCTATGGGCTCCTGACGCTTTCTGCAGCCTTTCTGCAGCTATTCCTTGGCTCCTTCTTACTGCTGTCTTTTAGTCATACCCCTGATCTTATGGCAGGTAAGATCGAACACCTAGCCTTTTCGGATAAAGGCGGAAAATCTCGGAAGTCCCATGTGCAAGTTGTACGCTTTAAAGTAAGATCCCTTGGTGGTCCTAAATCGATAAGAGTAGGCTCCATCCGCCACCTGGGAAAACTAAATTTCCTTCCAGCTGAAAATGTTAAATGTGTCCCGCGCGCTGATATGACCTTATTATGCAGTTGCGAGCGCCGTAAAACATTTACCAAAAATGTAAAAACATTAAAAAGTTGTTGATCTCCCTGCCTAGAGTTGCGTCAATATCTTTCTAAAGTTCTTCGAACATTGGCAGGTTTTTTTAAATTAATAAATTGTTTGTTTCCTGTCTTGATGACACAGACACTGCTCAAAGTTGCTGATCCTGAACTTAGTACACAGTAATGATAATAGATAATAGATCATGTAGAGCGCAAATCCCCCCTCAACAGCAAGCTCTTTGCGCTTCACAATCTATACTATTATCCTGGCAGACCTGAGAGCATTCTGAAACAACCTCAACTTTCTGGGAAGCATACATGCTGTGCGAGCAGCCGTTTATAGGCGCTAAAACACTAACATACTGACAAGATCCTTCACTGTATATTGCCAGGTACCCATTCCAACATGGGTGAAGTGAGGAACATTCGTGTAAAGTGCCTTTCCCAAGAACACAACTTCGGGCCCGCGGCTCGAACACCCGAACCTGCAACCTCTCGATTACGAGTCCGGTAGCTTAACCACTAGCATGGTGTTTCAATCGGCTATGCCCTGTTCTGAGTCTGAATAGAACAACAGCACAAGCTAGTCTTGACGGATGATGACGTAGTAGAAGTCAGTCTGGTTGTAGCGTGGGAGTTTTTCCTTCCTCTTTGCTTGTTGCCCCATTTTGATTACGGTTTTCGCCTCCGAATAATCTGTCCCTGTCGTTTTATGTAAGAAAAATACTGAAATTATGTATGCAAACTGAGCCCAAGAAAGGGAAATTATGCGATTCTGTTAATTTTAACAAAGAATGATAGAGGAAAATAATAAGAAATTATGCAAAAAATTATCAAAATTTGCTAAATTATGTGGGGTGCATAAAACCACAGGGACAGAATAATTAACTGAATTATGTTTTTGCCACAGGAGCAGTAGCTGAAAATGATGTCCCAGTTTGAGAGCGTCCTTGTCGGTGGCAGCGGAGATCACCAAACCAGCGTGCGTGGCCGCGATATCCTGCTGGACTTACACGTCAAGTACCCGCACATATTCCGGCGTCATGAGGTCCACAGGAGCCGGAGTCGAGAACGGCAGAGGGCCCATGAGTTGTTTGATCACGGTAAAAATCTGGATAGACAAGCGGTAAAGGTCAAACATGTTCCTCCGCCGGACGCTGAAAGAGAGCATCGCAGTTTGAGGAGAAGTCGCTCCAAGGAACAGACGAGATTTGATCTGTATGACCAACCTTTGCCTTTTTATGCTGACGATATAGCAAAATACAGACAGAGATGGAAGGATGTCACCAAACTCGATGATCAAAACAGAAACAATAACCCTGAAATTTACGCTCAAATTCAGAGTCGGGTTCTTTTTCCGTCAAATTATGTTGATTCAGATAATGACCCATCGGTTGCGAGTGCCTTTGACAGAAGAGGAGACCAAAGTCCCATGAGACATTTAGAGACTTCAGAACATTCCAAACACTTTCCACAGAGCTCAGGTGAACCGGATGTTAACTTTCGACCTTCAGTGCCCGTTCTTCAGGATCTGTCAAATGGACAAGAGCAGGGAAATCCTATTCCTGCTGCTGAGTCATCCAGAAGTTTTGTTGTTCCCGTGTCGTCAGCATTTGTACCCATCGCGAGCGCAAGTGGAAGTGAAAGTGTTTTTGGTCGCCAGAATAGAATAAGTGCAGCCGTACACCCTGATCAGACGAAAGTGAGAGAGATCAGGAGAGAACATGTAGATAGCCTTGAAGGCAATGGTGCTGAAATCACCTCGGCCGCCAGACGCTACACCGGTCTTCATGAGATACCATCGACCACTTCAGCGCTCCAGCAAGAGAATATATCTCAACACATCAAACCTGTCGACCAGAGTCTTTCTTCAAGCCACCCCTTTCAAAATTCAAGACCTTTTAAGGTATACAACATGGGATCTCCTCCATTAATTAATCCCACCCATCAAAGTTTTGATTACCTACCCCTGACCCCAAAACCTCGATTTCATCCACGGTATTTTAATCAAAGCTCACAGCTGCCCCTTTCAAACCAGAGCTCTGAGCCCTATACTTCAAATGAGCACCTATCTCCCGACTCCCCCCTTCATCTTTCTAATTTGCCCAGCTCTGGTTTAATCAAGGATTCGGTCATCCGTGACGGGCGCGCAGATGGGCGAGACCAACAGCGGCAAGAAGTAGGGGCGGAGGAGAAGGTTAGGAGGGCACACAGCCATCCATCATTAACCAACATTGAGGAAGTCAATCACCAAGTGGGCGGCTCTCACTCTGATCAATTTGTCCCCCATCACTTGGTCAGAAAATCTCCCGTTGAGTCGTTTAACGTCGCACCAGGGAGAGCGCCTAAACCACCAACAGTCTCCACATTTTCTGAAAAGGATTATGACAGGTCCGCGATATCCGATGTTTGGAGATTTCCTTTTGCCACAAAACTCAACACAGCGCTTCCCAACTTTCCTTTTCGAACAAGAGTGACAGAAACCAGTGCGCCATATGGTCGTT